TTTTTTGGCAAAACAATCAATCAGCATCAGGCAAGAAACTCGCTAAGACCAAGACCCGGCCAGAAGGGAAGAACAAATCAATATCAATATAAATAAAAAAAAACCACGTGGGCCATCTTATGAAACGTGGGCCCACCACATGTCGATACCTAAATATATTCCAACTTCCAAGTGGTTTAGGCGGCGGAGTCAATGCCGGCTGCGGCTGGTCAACTCAACGTTGATTTGTGGCACTGCTGATATTTAATTATTTTACTATTTTTCAAATTAAACATAATTGAATTAATTTACGTCTTTACCAAAATGAGTCGAGCTTGTCTAATATTTATATATTTTAACAAAATTATATGTTTTAGAAAATAATTGAGTCGAGCATGTTTTCGAACGAATAAATTGCATTCGCGAACAACTCGTTCACGGTTTTTTATTAATTAAATGAGTTGATATGAACTTTCACGAGCTTAGCTCAAGCAGAGTCTTTAGTTGTTTATGAAACGACCACAAGCTCGAACACAAAATGCTAGACCCAACTCGAATATCACACCAACATCGAATAACAAATTAATGTTTGGATTTTGAGAGTTAGATCGCCTTTTATTATAAGAACTATGTGGTCTGAATACAAGCAAAAACGAATCTTGCATTTAATATAAAATCAATTGATGATTAATTTTGTATTTGTCATTTAGAGAATATAATTTCTCAAATCCACATTTTAATGGACCACAAATAAGTGACAAAACTGTGGTTATGACCAACTATTTTTTTACCTAACCAATGCATAGTTCTTACAAAAACTGAAATTATGCCCCCAATATGTAACATTGGTTGGAAGTACAACTCTTTCAAGCATAGCCTAATTTGAATGAATATATGCATTCATTATTATTAAAAAAAAAAATCTTCTACTTATATATACTTATAGAGCTGTTAAATGAAACAAACCGTTAGTGAGCTCAGATTGTTATTTGATCAAGCTCGAATGCTCGATTTGCCTCGTTGAGATTCGGTTAAGGTCGGGAATAGAGATTTTTACGTGCTTTTCGAAGCTTATAGCTTAATCAAACTCAGAAGACTTAATTTTGGCTCGTTCATATTAACAGATGAATGATTTCGAGCTTGATTCAACTTTACATCTTTATATCTACTTGTCAGTGCAAACAAATTGCAATGCAAAAACCATTAGCAGTAAACAGATTTATGAAACGGTTTTTGGGGCCCAACTTGTGATATCTGAAGTCCAAGCCCATACTCTGACAAGCTCCAAAGTTGCAGATAACAGCACCATAATAGCAACAAAAGGCCCACCTTTTTTCAAACCTGCGGCGCTTCGAGCGGCTGGCGACTGCGTCCTGGGTTTGCAACTTGCACTACTTGTTTTCACCGGCTAGACAGATCAGTGGTTACGGCCCATTTATAGGTGGATTTGGGCCATCCGGGGTAAACTCAGTGTACATGAATGTAATAAACCCATTCAATAAGGTCCAGATAAGTAAAATTCCTGAATCGTCCACACAACCTAGAGCAATTAAGTGAACCGTGTTGTTCACGAACACAACTGTTTGGCTCGTAAAAGTTCAAGTTCAGCTTGTTTTTTTACTTAAACAAGTTGAACTCGAAGCTAATTGAACTAACTCACGAAACGCGCATCGAGCTTGTTCATGAATAGCTCATTTTCAATTTCTTATGTTTTTTTATGAGTTTTAAGTAATGCAATGGAGCCATACTTGCTTGAGATTAACATTTCATATTTACGAACAACTTGTTTAAGATTTTAGTTTTATGGACTTGTTTCGTAAACGAACAAACCGGCTCACTTACAGGGCTTTTCTTTTCTCCGTATCATTTTGCAACATTTAAGTTTCTCCTATTCAAGGGCAGCATAATACTACAATTACAATCTAACTAAAAAAAATTTATGCTTGATCACTTAAATATTCAAGGATTTTGACATTGTTCACCAAATGAAAAAGGCAATACAAGACTGTTGTTGCTCAGACACAAACTAAAACTGAAGTACAACCGTCTCTAGCCTCAAATTTGATCAAGATGGAGTTAGATTGCTACTAATCAACATTCAACGGTACACGAGATTTTTGAACGACTCGAAAACACAAATGTATTGCACTACCCAAAAACTATTATAGTCACTATATATCAAACTCTTTCCAACTCAATGTTGTGTTTCTCTAGTTGGTCTTTCAACTCCATTCTCCATCCTTGAATTAATCCCTCTTGCTTATTGATTAGCTCAGTCTTCACTTTCAACTCTTCTTCCATATTAGCAATCTCCTGAGAGAAAACCAAAAATCACTTATCAGCATCTAAATTAAAAAAAAAAAAAA